GGGAGAATCTGAGCATCAGCTTCCATTCCCCAACATCCTCTTACCCCATCCCAACTACTCTCTGGCCTTGTCCCACCCCAATCCCGGCCCCAGTTACAGTCCCCGTCCTGGCCCCAGACTTACTGGAGAGCAGCTGAAGGCCTCCACCCCTCTCTGAACCACCGGACCTGAAAACAAGCCCTAAGCTCCCTTCTCTGCCTTTGCATCCTTCCTGGATCCAGCCTGCCCTCCACACAGTGCTCTGACTACAGACTCCTGGGATGGGAGGGACTGGAAGAAGAGTGCTCAATGGAGAGAGAGAGATAAAAGGCATGGCAAGTAGGGGTGCAAGGAGCCAGGTGTGTGTATGGAGTGTCCCCATTCTCTGAGTTTCAGGACTCATGGTGTAGGTGATAACAGAGGCCTTGGGACAGGTCTCACCACCACTGTCCCCTCTTCCTGTACAAGTTTCTACTTGGAAGATGGGAGAGGAGGTCTCTGGGGATGGAAAATCAATGATGTGTATGCGCGCTGGGGGTGGTGGGGAAAGAGTATGTGCCATGGAAGATGGGAGAGGGAGGAAGGGCTGGGGTGGGGAAGCCTGCCTGGGGAGGGAGTGTCGGGGAGGGACGTGCAGACCCAGGCCAGGGCTCAGGGCCCATCTGAGCATGTCGCCGCTAAGGAGGCGCGGAGGCGGGGGAGGGGAGGGCGGGGAGGTGAATAAATAATAGGAAATAAAACTTCATGAAGCAGAAAATAAAAGGCAGATTATACAGATGTGGCAATTTGAAGGATCATTGCCTCTGTCCTCTTTTTAACTGCTGCATCTGGAGTTTTGAAGCCGCTTATCCCCACCCTCCCTCTGCCAGGTCCCCGCCTGGCTGGAGGCCCCCGTGGGGCTAAGGCACGCGTGGGGACAGCACCTCAAAAGCTGCCCGCTGCCGGTGGCATGTCCTAAGCTCACACATGGCTGGCTGCCGGGGTCAAGAGTGGCAGGGTGGGTTGAGGACACAAGGCATGGGTGTGACCAGGGAAGGGGGAGAGTGCGGGAGAGGAAGAGGAGGGTTATGGAGAGTGGGTGGGCAGGATGGGAATGTGGGAACCAGCCTGGAAGGTCAGGAATTGGGGTGGGGGCTTTGCGTCAGGCACCAGGAAGGGGATCCCTTCTCCTCTCCCCACCCCCAAAAGCATGCAGAGGATTATCAGCTGAGGTCTTAAGCCTGGATCTGCAGGTTCTGTCTCTTCTTCATCAAAATTCATTTGTTAAGCCTCAATTTGACACTGTGCCAGGTGCTATATAAACAGACATGGTCCCTGCCCTTAAGGAATTTCCAACCTAAGATACACACATACACCACGCACACACATACACACAAACACACACACACACTGACATTTCTGTTTATTTTGCTTTAAATATTAATGTATTCCCCACTTCATTCCAGGAGGATTGGAGACAGCTCACAGGAAATACATGTGATACATTAGCAAGACACAAATGAAAAATTGAACATCAGAGCTACAGGAATCATACCAAGACAGTCCAAGTGGGTCTGAGGCCACAGCAACATGGGGCTGGACCTGTGGGTCCTGAGTCTCTTGGTGGCCGAGTGGAAGGCTCATCAAGGCCACGACCACGGCTCGGTTATAGAGGAGACTGTCCACCTGAGCTCCAATGAAGGCAGCTAGGGATAGACACTGCCCACCCTGGCCACCCTGCTGCCTTGCGTCTGCAAGAAGAGCCAGGGCCTTCGCTCCCAACCCCTGCTCAGATCTCAAGCCTGTACCTTTCAACCCTTCCTACAGCTCTGGGAGGTCTTTCCACAGATGAACACATGGCTGTGGCCAGTCCTGGCAGAAATGCTTGTCGCAGAAGTTGAAATTCTGGGCTGGGTCCACCCAATCCAGGGTCCCAGCAATGAAGGCGCACTATGGGCTGCAGGGATGGGGATGGGGTTGGGGGTCCCAGGCAGACCCTAAAAGACCCTCTCTTTCTCCAAACATGTGCCTCCTCCTGACCCCCCAAGTCATGCCATAGCTGTGGACAGAGCTCAGAAGCTCCTGTGCTGATGCCCAAGTTGGAGTAGAGGCCGCTCTGGGTCCAATCAGCTCACGATCGCCCTGGTGTGCCTCTTTGAAAGGAGTGGATGGGGCATCACAGGATCATTAGCAGAAAGAGGGGGCTCAGGTCTGGGGCAGGTGGCACCAGGTCAGTCTTCAGGAGGTATTTAAAACAAAGCATATCCAGGCTGAGTCTCCAGGAGGCATGTCTTACACATGGCTCAGACTCCAGATCTAGAAATACGAGTTGAACGTTAGGAGATATTTCCCAAGAGATATCCTGCAAGCCCTAATCTGCCAGGTAAGAACCCCTGCAGTTCCACTCCGTGGGAGGACTGAGGTCATGGTGGGAGGCGTAACGGGATAACACAGAGGTAGCACTGTGGCGTAGCATCTTAAACCTTCACCCACGGCACTGACACTGTAGATGGGCACTGGTTCAAGTCCCGGCTGCTGCACTGCTGATCCAGCTCCTATGAATGTGCTTGGGAAGCTGGTAGAAGATGGCCCGGGTGTTTGGGTCTCTGTGCCCATGTGAGAGCCCCAGAAGAGGAGGAAAGAGGGAGCCAGAGCCAGCATTGATCGCAGGAAGGGGCAGGAAGGCCACAGGGAGGCTGGGGGCGTGTGATGTCAGTTGGTCTCTCCCTATCACCCCTGCCTCCTGACCACCAGGTCTCTTAGCCCATCCCTGTCCCCAGCTTCTGAGTGACCTTTCTTCCCAAAGAGGAACTCTGACTGCCTTCTTTGCCCTAGGGACAGGTCAGACATGGGCATGCAGCCCCAAGGGAGGGTCGCTTAGAGGGACTCCATGCTGCAGTTTGAAATCTGCAGGAAGCAGGCAGTTCTCTGTTGGAGACTTGTACCCAGAAGGAGGATCTCGGGAGCTGCTGGGGTCACCTGGGAACCACTGGGTTTGTTTTTTTTGCTTCCTAGGCTGGCAAGTGGAGCCTCAGAAAGGCCAGAGAGAACCAGGGCCCTGGAGCGGTTATAAACCTGTGCTCAGCATCACCTGATCCCAACACAACATCCTTTCCTGCTAAAGCCCACTTGTGCTCAGACTGCATATGGGCAACTGCAGGCAGAAGCTGCACTTCCAAATAGGAAAGCATGTTTGAGGGCAGAACCCAAGCTGGAGCCCAACAAAGGCGGGAAGGGTGCCCGCCTGAGTGCAACAGGGCTTGTGTGCTAATAGTTAACCTCACAGACTCTCCTCCTGTGCCAGTCATTGTTCCCAGGGATGTTTGCCTGTATGACTTCACCTGCTCCTCACGCAGTTCCTGTGAGGTAAGCAGAGCTATTATGTCCCATTTTAGAGAGAAGCAAACTGAAGCAAAGAGCATAATTGGCACGCGATCAGTCCCAGACACTCCAACCCCATGGTCTGGCCATGCTGAGACCAGGTCACACTGGACCTGGATACAGGTTCAGGCAGGTCACACAGCATGGCCAGAGTCAAAGGTAGCTGAGAAGGAGGGGGTCTGAAGGCTGAGCCATTGGCCCTGATGATGTCAGGAGCTCTAGGGCTGATGTTTCCGGGAAGGGTGGAAGCTCATGTGTAAGGAATGAACGAGAGCCAGGTATGAGTGGGAACCATTTGAGAGAAGGAAAGAGCTGGTGCAGACACACACCCTGGGGGGGTCTTCCTGGGAAGCCTACAAGGGAGGAAGGCGCAGGGGGTAGAGGGCACATTCAGGAACCCCTGTAGAAAAGAGGCCCCCGGCAGAATTGGAGGTGGTGCTCAGGTGCAGGGAGGGCAGGCCCCTTCAGTCACAGGCTTGAAGATTGCACCTGTTCTTGCACCGAAGGCCAAGAGGAATGGAACAGATGAAGGCATCTGCCAGGTCCCACAGTCGGAACACAGACACACAGAAGCACTGTGCGGGCAGCTGTTGGCAAAGCACAGGGAGGCAAGGAGCCTTGAGGGAGAAATGGGTGGGGGGTGAGGGGAGTCTGCTGGAAACGGTGGTGCAGCTGTGAGCATGCACCTCAGGGTGGGAGGAGGGCCTGGGAGGGGGGAAGGTGTGACCATGTTGTCCCATGGTTCCACGCCATTGCACTTTTCTCCCCCCACCCCATTTTTCTTGTTATTTATTTTGAAATGATTTTTGAGATTTACATGGAAGTTGCACCAGTAGTACAACTCATTTCCAGGCCCTCGTCTTAGTCTGACCCCACCTCTTGGCATTACATACTCATTTCACCTTCTCAGCAAAACGCCCTAGGCTGGTTCTGGTGCAAGCGGGAGGAGAATGTGCTGTTCTGTATTGCGATCTGTACCGCATGTTCGCAAGAAGCAAGACGCTGTGGCTGTGGCTGCCTTCCAAGTCCTCACAGACCTGGCCTTAGCCCAGCCACCACCTCCCCCCCCCCCAAACGTGTGCCCAACTCCAGAAGACCCTGAGCCTCCCAACTGTGATATGTTCATCTTGCCCAAAGTGACCTGCAAACACACAAGCCCCTGCTCCCAGCAGAAGACAGCTGAGCAGTCTGGAAACGCCCTGGTCACGGATGGCTCAGCTGCGTGGCAGTTCTGCAAAGCGCAGGAACATTCTTGGGATGGAGACCAGGTAACACACCAATCTGGAGTAGCTTCACCTGTCCCATCCTGGGACTGAGCCTGGGGCTCACTCAGCTGCCTACCTGAACCACGGTGGATCCAGGGAAGTGGAAGGTTCTGGTTCGAGTGCTGGATGGCACAGGGGCACACAGACGCACACACTTGCTGTCTTTGTAGCTGCACACCTGAGCAGCACAAAATAGGAATATGCAAGCCCGCCCCCCAGTGGTCATATGTCACAACTGCAGCCTTGAAAACCCAGTCTCAATTTCCCTAAATACCCTCCCAGCAGGTGCTTGACGAGGTTGCACAGTTAGCATCGTTGAGCCCGTTAGGCTTCACCAGTGAAGGGAAGGTCCTGTTCCCACATGAGAAAAGGCGTACAGGAAGTGTCACACATGCATACAGACAGACCTCCACATTTTATTCTGGTTTTAGGTGTTTGGCCCAGCAGTTAAGGTACTGGTTAGGCTGCCCATCTCCCACATTTGAGAGCTCAGGTTCGATTCCTGATGCTGGATTCCTGTAAATGTGCACCCTGGGAGGTAGCAGGTGATGGCTCAAGTGGTCGGGTTCCTGTCACCCACTTTGGAGACCTGGATGGAGGACTGAGCTCCCCAGCTCTGGTCTGGCTCAGCCCTCACCACCATAGGGCATTGAGGGGCAGTGAACCAGCAGATGGGAGGAGTTCCTTCTCAAATAAATAAATAAAAATAACACATGTCCAGGGAGGTTCTGGGACCTGGTCCAGGCCATCTGACCTCATTAGCCTCAGCTCACATCTATCCAGCTGTATCAAGTGAGACTACTGGCTCCATCCCACAGTGGCTCCTAACTATTGTGACCTATCGGCTGCTCCAGGAGCCTTGCACACATCTGTCCTCCTCTGCACAGGCTGGCCGCATGACATGCCTTTGCAGTGTGTACCCCAGACAAGGCAAGTCACGGGGAAGCAACAGGCAGGATCGTCCTCACACACAACTCCTCAGATCTGGTCCATAACCAGGGCTCTGACATTCTTGTGGAAGCCACCAGTGGCTCATGAGGAAGTGATCCTGAGGTCCCGTCTAGCTTGGACAGGCCATCACTGTGTGCCTCGTGTTTTCACATATACAAGGACACAGGGGGCAAAGAGACCTACAGGCTGCTCCCTCTGCCTGCCTCATACACACACATCCTTCCTCATGGCTTCTGTGTACTGTGCAGTCGTGGGGTAGACAGTGCAGTCGCAGGCCCCGGGGCTGGTTCTAAACATTACGGGGGTGGATGGCTAGGAGTAAGAGGGTGGCCCAGGAGGAAGGCTGAGGGAGGCCGTGTGTCATGGGGCAGCAGCCACCGTGGAGGCTCCTCTTGGCCAGCAGCCCCCTCTCCAGGACACACTTGACTGAACAGACACAATAGAGGCTGCTCCCTGCAGCCCAGCCTCCTTCCCACAAGCCCAAGTCCCCGGAACCTCCCCCCACCACACACACACACACACACACACACACACACACACTCCCCTTAGAGAACAGGTCCAGCTGGGAGGCAGCCAGAGGGCAGGAGCAGGGGACTGCCCAGCGCAGGGCTGCCAAAGTCCTTGGAGCCCACCCATGGCAGGAATGCAGCCTTAAGGGCAGGGGTGCATGTTGGGGGGGTCTCACACAGCGTACTTGTCTAGCTCTTGCCTGCTTTCCATCCCACACATCCCTCCAAGGCTGGTGCTCCCCTGCCCCTCAAAGCAATGGTCATCATGCAGGCTCAGGGCTCTGCACCCAGGGAAACACCTCTTTGATCTGGGAGACAAAGGCACTGCATCCCAGGCAGAGGCCCCAGCCCCTGGGCTGGGTTCTGCTCTGCTAGCTAGCAGCAACTGGATCTGTGGGGCAGGAACAGCTACTCCCTGTGCATGCCTCCATAACTGGTGGATTCTGGCTCACACTGGGTTGGTACACATGCTCCACCCAGATGTGGCATCAGGGCCATGGGCGGCCGTGAAAGGCAGCTGTCCCAACAGTTCCTACCACAGGGCTGGTCCCCCACCCTGGGGTGCCCATGAAATAAGGCCACTCTGGATTCTGGGGGTGCAAGGATGATTGTCCCAGGATGGAGCCAAGTCTTCGACTTCCCTCTGCCTTGGGAGCAGCCAGGAGACAGGGCGGGGCTGGCAGCACCCGGGCAGTTCACGGGCATCAGGCTCCGCCCCAACGGCTTCACAGCTGGTTGCGGTTCCGTTTGGGGATGATCTTCCGGTAGGTTCTACGCTCAGAGATATTGCGCTTCACCTTGGCTGTGGTGGGGGCCTCCTCTTGGTGCAGGGACGGGCTGGAGTGGGACTTCTTCAGGCTGGGCTTGGGTTCCCGTGCACCAGCGGCTTCCTTCCCCAGCTGCTCCTCCCACAGGGCCAGGTCTCCCTCTGGGCATCGCAGCCGGGCCACCAGCAGCTGCACATACGTCTCGTAGCGGGTTTTCTGCAACACACAGGCATGCCACCCCCCTTCTCAGCCCCATGCCAGCTCCAGGGGGCCCACGGGAGGCTGACCTCCCCATGGTACAACTCCCAGATGTTAAGAAGTCCCAGGGACCAAGACTGCTACAGAAGGAAGCTGGGTGTCTGGACCCCATAACACCACACATGCCAACCCCAGCCTACTCTGATCAGCAACCCCTTGCAATGCTGTTGTGATTGATGTTTCTAGACCATGTTGCATTCCAGATGTGACAAGATGCTCCACCCATTCCACCTGCCACCAGTGTAGCACTGAGCCTGGATGCAGTGCCATCGGGCACTAACAGATTGCATGCTGAATGTCCTTACCTACTGCATACAGAGGCCTCCCTCTGCCACCGTCATCTACAGGGGGATGTCCCAGGACCCCTCTCCAACATCCACCGGGCTCCTACAACTCTGAATAGTACATCCCAGACAGACCTGCAGCGCCAATCATTTCTGCCAGTTTGTAAGGAAGGAAATGAGGCTGGTGGAGAGCTAATGCCTGCTAACAGTCCTGGCTGGGCCGTGGGGCAAGTCCACAGCCACGGACCTGACCCAGCAAACCAAGGCAGATGGACCAGGCCCTTGAAGGCTAGCCAGACAGCAACGGGGACCCAGTGGGCACAGGTAGCAAGCACAGGTGCCCCCTTCTGGTCTCAGAGCCCTCCACACTCAAATGGCCTCTCAGCTACCCTAACTGCCCCCTCTCTGGGTTCTCAGGACCTGGGTGATGGAAATGTGTGCACCGAATGGGGGCCAAAGCCACACAACCAAACAGTGTGGTCGGACAGAGGACTAGGGGATAGAGGGCTCTATGATGCTAAGGCGCTGGAGGCCTCGCCTCGGGTCAGACCAAACATGACGCAGGCAGGAGACTTGAGCTGCATGTAGGTGTTTGGACAAGAGGTTTGATGTTGCCATGCCTGTGTCCTTGTCCCCTCTAAGATGGGGATGGCATGCTTAGCCAAGAGGTGCTGGACAATGAAACGACCCATGCCAGTCATACAAACTCCATCGGTACTACCTGTTAGCAGGTGGATGTCGGAATGATTCAGACAAAATAGTTTGTCCTTCTTAAGAGCCCACTACACTCAGAAATGGGGTGGTGGACAGCTATAAAAGTAACATCTCCTTCTGAGTGTTAGCAGAAAGGCGTCCGCCCCGGGGACTGCCGCGGAGGGACTGAGAGGTCCACTCACACTGGGCTGGCACACACGCTCCGCCCGGGCAGGGACCCGGCGGCCACGAGAGGGCGGCAGAGGACAGGGCGGGCGCCTCACCTCGTGCTCCAGGTACTCCTTCCGCATGCGGTGCTCCTCCAGCTCGCGGCCGCGTCCCCGCCGTTCGGGCAGCTTCCTTTGCAGGTCCAGCAGGTCGTCGGAGGCGGCGTCCAGGCAGTTCTCGTGGGATCGATGCTGCTCCTCCTGTGAGCAGGAGGCGGTGGCGGAAGCTGTCTCGGGGACCCCTCCTCCCAGGGCCCTGATGAGTCAGGCTGCAACCCGGCCCCACTCTCCTACTAGGGTCAGGTGTGCACTCCCCCAATTCTCCCCTTTGGGTGCCCTTCCGCGGGTTCTCGGGCTGGGGTGCACACACCCATCACTCTGGGAGACCGTACCAGGGAGCTCTGGGCTGGGCCCATGGGCAGGATGGGCCGCACGAACCGGCGCTGGGAGCCCACCGCGGCGGGGAAGGGCGGTGCTGAGTGCGTGGCGGCGGCCAGGTTGATGCGTGCGATCCAGGAACTCATCTCCTTGGCCGTGCTGTGAGACAGAGGCGGCCATGGGTCCCCGGGTCACCGAGTGGGTATTAGCATCCCCCCCACCCACACACACACCTGTGGCCTTCAAGAGCCAGCAGCCTGGTCACCTGCTATGTGAGGTTACTGGACTTCTGCCCTGGGTCAACCAGGAAAACACGGGAAGGCAGAAAGTTTTCAAGCTACCCTCCTGGAACCCTGTCTTCCCCAAGGGCAGGCTAGGTGGAGGCTGATGGATGCAGAAACCGAGAGGAGGAGCAGGAAGCACCCAGGGCCCCCAGCATCCACTCCCAGCTCTGCGTTCTAGGAGCTCCAGGACCAGACTGGCAGGACCCCAGGAAGTGGTGCTGGGACCAAGACAGGGGAATTTAAAGCCAGCTCCTCTCCCCACCCACCCGGGACTCACGGTGCCTGGAAGAGGTAGAGGCGCCAGTCTGCTGTGCGCAGCTGGAAGACGTGCGGCTTCTTGGTGTAATGGGTGGCCGGAGTGGCCAGCGAGTGGTGCACCCCCACGGGCTCATCCACCATCTGCTCCAGTAGGCTGTCCCCATCCAGGCACTGGCTGTCTCCCTGCACAGGGCACAGGGAGCTCTCAAGGAGGAAGAGATCATCAACTGGCCAGCCACCCTCCCTCCAGGTTCCTCCTCACCCCCAACATCCCCCTCCATCACTGTCCTACCTTCAGGAAGTAGAGAACCATCCCTCGTAGTAATGTGTGGAACATCTTCCAGCCGCGCTTGCCCCAAGGTGCTGCTCCAGGAGCAAAGCATGAGAGTGGGTGCTGGCACCCACATCTGCATCCAGGCCCACACAACTGTGGGTCCAGCCCCCACCCAAGTGCCCCAGGATGCACACAGAGAGACACTGCATACTAATACAAGAAATTACAGACTCCACATAGGTCAGGGTGTCCCCTCAGGGGAAAACCAAACCGGTCTATATGCGAACACGGATGTTCACAGACCGTTGCCAACCTAAATACATGACTGTAACCCATGTGCAAACACCCCATACACACACTCTCTCTCTCTCTTCCACTCAGGTACCCTTCTGGGCCTGTGGGATGATCTCATTGTATCCATCTAGCGAGGCTCAAGGGCTCAGCTCCCAGCCTTGGGGTGTCTCCCTGTCACCCCACTCTGAGCACCAGCAGCCCACCTCCGCTCCCCTTCCTATGCTGTCCTCATGTGGTCAGACTTGGCCTGACTCCCTCCTGTTACTGCCAGGGGCTCTGCCTTGGCCCCTGCGGCTTCTCACAGCCATGCCAGTTCCTTCCTGCTAAAGCTGTGATTTCCCAATTGGATGCTGAGGTCCCTGCTCTGGCTACGCTGCTGCCCAGCTCAAAAGCACCCCCAACTCCTTCCACATTCCCCGGGTGCCGAGACAACTCTGCCTGCTCTTTTCTCTGTGGCAGACACTCTGTGCCCAAGTTCAAAAATCCAGACCCTCAGCATCTCCCCAGGAACCTTCCCGGTCCCTGTCCCCCTACCCAGCCCCTCAATAAAAGTAGACAGCCACATGCCCAGATGCATCACAGCCCTCCTGGCATGTCCAGCTCTTTTCACCTAGGATCCCAGGCATGCATGTGCCCTGCCTACTCCCTCCCCGACCCATTCTGAGGGCCCAGGAATAACCAAGAGCCTTACACAGCACCTTGTCCATGGGGGTCCTACTTCAGGATTTATCCCTGCCCATGGGCTGGCCCGGGGCCTGGAGTGGCACAGCGCTCTATGTCCCGCCCTGTTCTCAGGCAGCATGCACTCACTCTTCTTGCCATCTGCATCATGATGCATCTTGCGTGCCAGGATGCCCTGCTTGTAGGTAGGCACCATGGGGTCCTGGGTCAGCTGGAGGAAGGGGTTGCCCATCTTGCCAGCTGGGGGAGATGGCTGCACCTTCTCAGGTCTGGCTGAGTCCTCTTCATCCCTGGATGCATCAAAGAATCAAACTGGGTGCTGACTGGACACAGAGTGCTAAGAGGTACCTGTGACCCCAAGACCTCAGCACCGTCTCTCTTGACAGGGAGCCACATCCCAGGACCTTCTAAAAGGAGTCTTCCCCAGTTCAAAGCCAATCTGTCCACTCTTGGACATGCTGCTCACCAACCCCCTTGCTACTCCTGCCCCTTTCCCCATCCACTACTTCTGGCTCTGCCCCACTCAAAGTGAGCCTTGTCCAGCCAGGGCCTGCACTTTTCTGGTTCTTGGTGGGTGGCAGTGAGGACAGGCCCAGCGTAGGGGCTAGGAGACTGAGAAGAGAGGGGAAGGCGGTTCTCACTCACACGGCCCACTCAAGCTTCTCACTTCGGATAGACCAGTAGAGGGCCTGAAACAGAAGCACATGAGGGAGAAGGATACTGAGGGCTAGGGGTTGGGGGACAGGGATGGGGAACTTCAACCCACAGTCTGGTATAGGTAGGAGAGATGCATATGTCCCTCCGTTCCCTCAGTATAGCTGCCCCTCCATCATGCATCCATCCACCTATCCTAAGCCATCCATCCATCCATCCATCATCCATATATCCATGCATTCATCTGTTCATCTGCCCATCCATCTGTAACCCACCCATTCATTCATCCATCCATCCAGTCATGCATGCATGCAGTGCCTAACACAGTGCCTGGCACACAGTGGTATCCAGTAGGTCTAATAAATGTTCACTGCTCATGTAGTACATGCTGCCGTGAAGCTTGGTTCTCCATCCCCTCTGAGAACCAACACCCCAGAGTTTCTCAGACTTTCCCAGTATGTCTCACCTGGAAACCCTAATAAAACACCACTGGAGCCCCAGCCTGAGAGATTCTGATGCAGCAGGTTCAATATGGGGACCTATACATTTGCACAGCTTGACAAGCTCCAAGATGTCGCAGATGCTGCCAGCCAGGAGCCCCACAGTCAGCAGGCAGCCTGGCCAATAGGGGTATTTCTGGCAGGGCAAGGCCTCAGCTCTGTATACACCCCCCCACCACCACTTTCTTGGGGTCCCAAGCCCAGCAGGTACCTTCAGCAGCTCCTTTGGGAAGTTGCCACCATCTCGCAGGCCATGCAAGTTGGTTATGAATTCCTGGCAGCTCATGCTCTTGCCGATGTTCTGTGTGGCCATGGAGAGAAGTGGGACAGCTGATTGAACAGCCCCAGCTGGCTGCTCCATCTCGCCCAGGCTCTAGTCTTCTCTCCCCTGCACCCCCAAGTCACAGCCCCTGGCCCAGCGCCCACCTGGGATCCCACAGGCTCTGCCCCTTCCTCACCTGTCCATGCAGGTCTGTGTTTAGGAGCATGATTGCACAGGTCAAGGTGTGTACGGAATCTGCCCAAGAGAGACAAAAGCTCAGAGAGCACTGAAGCCAGACGCCCCAGGACAAGCGGGTGAGCCCCTACAGTTTCTCCATGAACCCCCACCACGCTCCCAACAGCCACCGCCCAGTGAACTCCCGAAAAGGCACAGGACAGTCCCATGCCTTCCCACTCGCAGGTCCTCCCCAAACTTCCCTGGCCCTGCTCCCCAGGGCTGACCCCTCTCTACCTGCTGAGGGGAAGAGGCTGGGATTGCAGTAATGGAAGCGTTTGGAGAACTGGTAGAGGACTCTCTCCCGCTCCTGGGTCTCCCCACTCAGCACCAGCGCCTGGAGGAAGCCCCTGCCAGGAGGGTGAGGGTCAAAGGGTGGGCCTGGCTGGCAGACCCCTGGCAGACCCCAGCCCCTTCCCCTCCTCCCTCTCAGCCAGTTAGATTCAAGCCTTGGGGCTTGTCGCCGCCCCACAGCCATCCCTGCCCAATTGGGCCTGAGGATTTTACCGAAGGGCACGGTCCAGGCTCTGGCCTCCAAACTGGAAGAAGTTCAAGTACGCCTCAGCCACGGCCCTGCTGAAGTCATTGCTGGCAGGGGAGATGGAGATGAGGCTGATCCCCTGAGGTCGGGCTGGAGTCCCCAGGGCCGGAACACATCAAGGGATCAATGCATGGGATGGGAACCACGTAGGCAGAAAGGGTAGGGGACGAGGGGTCTGGTCTGCCCCTGGCAACCCCATCACTGCTAAATGGGAAGGGCCAGGGGAGTCTGGGTGGGTAAGGGCAGATTGGCGTAGGGATCCAGACTGCAGACAGGCAGAGGCAAGGCAGGCACTGGAATGGGACAGGGCCCAGTGCAAAGCGGCAATGGTGCTGGAGTAGGGATGGGACACAGGACGAGGGAAGGGAGAGGCGGCCAGGAGAGGCTACCCACTGGCAGCTCCTCTCTGTCCTGCCTTAGCCTGCAGCCAGGTCCAGGCTCAAAGCCCCTTACTTCTTCTGCAGGTACGCAGCCACTTCCGACTTCCGGAAGCCCTCCAGGTGGTAAAGACGGGAGGCCAAGTTGGAGGCCACCTTGTCGGTCGTGACACCATTGGCCAGTTTGTCTCCAGCCAGCGGCCCCCGGCCTTCCTCCGGGGACTGTGCTTGGGACTTGGGGCTCTTTGTAGGCCTGCAAGAGTCATTGGTAGCCCATGAAGGATACACTAGCAAAGGTTCTGTGTCAAGTATCCTGGCAGCCTTGGCTGGAAGGGTAGAGGGTGTGGTGGAGGCATACAGAGCTCAGGGTCACACCTGGAGCTCCAGAGCCTTTGAATGATGGCCTGGCCATCCCTGGTGCTTCACTAGGGGTTCTGACTCTAAGGTTCCCCAAGGTTCCTCCAGGCACCCTCCACCTGACTACTGGCTCCCCTTGCAACACCATCACATCCAGGTGTGGTATGTCTGTTACCCATGATGAATATCTGCTATCCAAGCCAGCACACCTGGGGAGAACTGTATGGGGAAACAAAAGTCATGATAACAAAGCAACAGGCCCATCAGCTAAGATGCCATTTGGGGTGCCTACATCGCACGTTGGAGCACCTGGGTTGGAGTCCCAGCTCTTCCTTGCTCCAGCTTTGCGCTCATGTGCACCCTGGGAAATTGCTCAAGTACTTGAGTCCCTGCCGCCCCTGTGGGAGACCCAGACTGAGATCCTGGCTCCTAGCTTCAGCCTGCTGCAGCCCTGGTTGCTGGGGACCCTCAGAGAGTGAACCAGCAGATGGGAGCGGGGAACCTCTGTCTCCTCCTTTCAAATAAAGTGTAAAGAGAAGTACTTAGATCACCAACTGGTGAAGAAGTCCTGAACTACATAAAGAATGACAGTTAAGTCTACCCCATCCTATGTCGAGGGCCTGGGGACAACACGCACCTGCAGCTCTCAGTTCCAGCTTCATGGTAATGCAGTCTCAGAGAGGCTGCAGTGATGGGGGATTCCTGCTGCCCACGCAGGAGGCCTGGACTAAGTTCCCAGGTCGCAGCTTGGCTTCAGCACAGCCCCAGTCAGGGTTTTAGGTGGCAAACCAGTGAATAGGATTTCTCTGTCCCTCTTTATCTCCCTGTCTCTTACCTTTCAAATAAATACATAAATAAAGTGACTCAACATATAACCAAATCACTCATATCTAGGTAAGGAAATACTTGGGCAGGAAAAAAAAAATCACCATGCAAACACAAATTCACACAGCATTGTATATTTTACATATGCCATTTGCATGGGACTCTAATTATCTCTCTGTGTGTAACTATACGAACAGGAAGAGATCAGGGTCATGATGTATTTAAATGACCTTTTTTAATCTCACTGAAAGTCAAGCTTGAAGGAAGGAAGTCTCATCAGGGCCAGCAAACTCACGCTGGGAATATTAAACCTCTCCCGCTGTGTTCAATGAGATTCAGTAAACTCACTTCCCCCGATACAGTGTCACACCTGCGGAGTTGGACAGGTGAGCAAAAGGCATCAGACGAGGACAGCAGTCTCCAGGAGGTAGACACACTCAGGCCTCCATCAACGCTTTCTCCTCTTGAGGATACACTAAGTCCACAGTTTGGGAGAAACCCGAGGCGAACTAACTGAAGTTGCAAATTCAACAAAATCCAGCAGGATTTTATGAGTTAAGGAAAATGATTCTGGAAGACTCCAAAAATCACATGGAAAGCCACTGACCAACAGGAAGAGTCCAGTTTACTAAGATAAATCTACTGGGAATTTTTTTTTTTAAATGTACGGTTCTCACTTTAGCTGGGTTTACTTACTTAGGTTCTGGGTTGGATGAACTAACTTTTCATGAAATGAACCCTCCCTTTGTGGGCCCTGGGGCTCCTCTAAGCCATAAGGAAGATGCTGCTTTGGTTTTTTGGTCCTGAATTGTTGTCTCTGTCAAGCAAGGATTAAGATGGGAGTGGGGTCATCCCATCACCCCTCCAGCTATTGTTCCTTTAGATCCATGAGCTAAGCTATTGCTGGCTTCTAGAAGTCTCCTGGCTATGACCTCTGCTCAGCTAACAAGACAACCAAACCCGTTCCCATGTTAGAAATCACAGGAGCTAATAGATGCAGGTACACCAGTTGGCCGGCTCCCACTTGAGGTTAAAGCCTGAGATTACATAATCTTCTATGGAGCTCACTATCCAGTTCCTCAGAACCAACGAACCTCCCCTTGGCGAGATCTGTGCCAGGTTCTCTGGTGGATTACTCCCAGCAAACAGAGCAGCCCGTACTCCCCATATCATCAGCCTTGCTCCTGCCCGCTGTCAGCCTGCCTTGCTCAACAGCATCGTCTTGGGCACACAGCCCTTGTCAGATTCCCTGGGATTTGGCTACGGACAGTCCTCCCAGTCTATTCTTGGGTTCCTGTGCCTTCAAACCTTCAGGTCATGGGACCCAAGTTTGGTAAATATCTGTATGTTAAACCCTGATTGGCGTATCTCAGCTCCAACCCCACCAGGGAGGATTCTGGTCAGTAGGAATCAGAGAACCAGAGAGGGGAGACTCACCTTTCAACAGAGGTCAAGTGCTGGCTGGGTAGGGCACCACCTCCAGCCTCTGCAGTCCTAACTGTGTCTTCGCTCTTCACTTCCTCCTCCGGGTCCCGGACCTCCCCTGGCTCCACTCTCTCAGGAAAACCTGGTTCTGCCAGCTTCGTGGTGTCCACGAGCAAAGCGCGTGTGGTATCTGGTGTACACTTGGGCACAGGATCTGAGCTACAGCGCTGGCGCTGTGGGCTGCCCTCTGGGGAGGACATGGTGCCAGGCCTGGGAGCGGGGCTTCTGCTGCTCTCAGACCCACAGCTGCTGGGCTGTGGCGAAGAGGCTCGGCTCCCCGAGGCGCTGGGGGATGTGGGGCAGGGAGCAGCCGGCTGTGGGCTTCCAACTTCCATGTCACCTGCCAAACAGCGGGCAGTGAGGAAGGCACAGGGGCAGGAGGAGGGGCTGGGCAGCCACCCTCAGAGGCTACCTCCCTGGGGCTCCTCCCCTGGAGCTGGGCCAGCACACCCTGTCCCCTGCTCGCAGCAGTAACTGCTCCCACGCAGAGGCAGCGGCTCTCAGAGTTGCAGCCTGAGGCCTCGGGACTTCTGCAGAGACCCATCAGACCCAGACAGATGTGAGAACCACTGGGCCTTTGGCATGCTGCTATGTTGATTCTGCACACCACAGAAACGACAGCAGGAACCCACCCCAAATCTCTGGCTCTGAGATGATACACTGAGCTCCCCAGTGACACCTTCAGATTCAAGAATGATCTCTGGTCCCATTCGAAATTCCAAAGCCTCCCACAACCCTATTTTCCCCATGCCCATGTTGAATTTCACCTGGTTCCTGAAAAATCGGCACCTGGGGCTGGGGGGGACTCTCTTCTGTCTGCCTGGTCTCAGGCCTGGGTGGATCCTGTTGAGAGAGGTGTGTTAGTTTCAATGAGTCTTGGAGATACTAAGCAGTTCCTGGGGGGGTGAGGGGAGACATCTGGGAGAACACCGCCTCAACAAGTATGTGGGCTCCAGCCTGAGCCTTGCGTTCAGAAGAACAATGCCACAGAGAAGCCTTCCTATCCAAGCATGCTGGGGCTGAGCCCTGGAAATCAGGGTTTTCACACTCCTCTTTCCCAGGTGGATAAGTTGGGGCACAGAGAAGGGGAGTGACTTGCCCAAGGTTGCACAGGATGTGAGGCAGGGCTGAGGTCGGATGCGAAGCTTGCTGGCTCCCAAGACAATCCTTCATCCACACTGGGTGCTGCTGGGGAGTCAGGGCCCAGTCTGTTCCTGAGAGAAGTCTGAGAGACAGGAACAGAGAGAGGAGGGGTGATTTGACCAGAGGCAACCTGCTCCCAGCCCTTTCCCACACCCTCCCCTCACAGTTTGCCTGCACCTCTCTGGCCCACGGGGAGCAGCTTAAGGAGTGTCCTAGAGAGGACTGAGGACGCTGGGCCCCTGGCTGGGTCGCCTTTGCCACCGCAGAATGCAGCCAATTCCAATGATTTCCTCTGAGCACCCTGGGGCACCAGGGCAGGGTCCTGGGAGAATGCACCTGCCCAGGATGGAGCCCTAAGCGCCCGACCTGGGGTCTCCCTGCAGGATGACAGCTCCCCTGCCCCGGGGGTGCTGGTGTCCAGTGGAGATTACAAAGTTACCTCTTGTGCTGCCATCTTGAACCTTATCTCCCCAGGCAGCCTTCTCTGGGAAAACTGTCCCACTTTCTCCTGAAGGCCTTTTCCCCTGCTGCTCTCAGGGAGCCCCGCCATTGTCCCGGGGATGCTGTCTGGGGACTCTGGCCAGGGGCAGGACCACCAGGGATTGAGGCAGAAGTTAACAAAGTCTGCCCAGGCGCAGCACAATAATGTAGTGGTTAAAGTCCTCTCCTTGAACACACCAGGATCCCATATGGGTGCTGGTTCTAATCCTGGCAGCCCCGCTTTCCATCCTGCTCCCTGCCTGAGAATGCAGTTGAGGACGGCCCAAAGCTTTGGGACCCTGCACCCACATGGGAGACCTGGAATAAGCTCCTGGCTCCTGGCTTTGGATTGGCTCAACTCCAGCTGTTGTGGCTGCTTGGGGAGTAAACCATTGGATGGAAGATCTTCCACTTTGTCTTTCCTCCTCTCTGTATATTTGCCTTTCCAATAAAAATAAAGCTTAAAAAAAAAAAGGCTGCCCATCTCTCCAGGGAGGAGATGATGGAACTGCCAGACAGATCTCTCTCTGCAAGGGTCACAGGTCGCTCCTGCTGGCTGGCTATGCCCTGCTGCCAAAGGAGGGAGGGACGAGTGGGGGGAGCAGGGAGGGGGGAAAGCCTGGGTGCCCCGTAGCTGGATGAACCATTTATTCTGCGAAAGTATCCTGTGGAGCTTGAAGCAGGGAGTGGGGGGGTCACTTAGGGCTTTAATTGTCAGTGAGGTTGGCAGAAAGAAGCACCTCTGTGTGATTTCCTGTTATACTGAAGGTGACCCTAGGTCTGATTTTCTGCTCTGTTACCCAACAGTTACGAGGATGCCCCCATCATCAGAAAAGCATGTTTGAGGTCTGGGAGCCCCTGAGGTGCCCAGGTTGGGTGGAAGGTGGGAGGTGGGTGCTGGTTCCCAGAGTGTGGCTTACCTGATCTTCCTCCCAGCCAGAAGGCACTGCAGGGATGTCTCCCTGGGCGGAGGCCTCCAAGGAGTAACAGGTGTGCAGCTTATAGGTGGGCACAGGGAATGGAGGCGTGCGGTGCCCACTGCAATCAGTGGGGTCATCCTCCAAGTCCAGCTCACTCCCCAGCTCCCAAGCCGCTGTCCCTCCTGCAGGGGGCAACTCCAGGGCTCCGAGGGCCCCCAGGCCCTTGGGCTCAGCGTTTTCATCCACAGGGGCTGTGGCATCAGTGGCTGGGAACTCCCAGGAGAAGCCCTCTCTGGAAGCACCGGTCTCCGAGTCAGGGCTCTCCAGGAACAGGGGGTTATCAAAGAACAAGCTCTCCTCTTCCTCACCCCACTCGGGGGAAGCGTCTGAGGTTCCTGCCTTTGGCCATGCCTGTTTATCATCCTGCTCTGGTTCACTGCTGTCTTCTCCTGAGTCCTCCTGGATGGCAGGACTGGGGTGCAGGTCCGTGGCCCCTGAGAACTCTGCAGTGGCTGTAGGCAGGCAGCACTTCAGTTCAGCCCTGAGCCCTTCTGTCTTTTCCAACTCCTCCTCCAGGTCCAGGACGCACATCTGGGCCTGCAGGATGCCTGCCCAGAACACCACTTGTGTGGACGAGCTCTGGTTGTGCGGAGGGCTGCCTAGAGGATGGTCACTGTTCCCAGGCAGTCCTGGGGATGCTGCAGCCATTGATCTGGGCTCACCCTGGGAGGAGCAGCTCCCCAGGCGGGTGGGCTCCATGTCCTCGGAGCTGCAGGGAGGTGCATGGTGCCTGGTGGCTTCAGGAAGGTCCAAGGCTGGAGTGGTGTGGTTCTCGGAAGGTTTGGGAGGGTCCAGAGAGCATTCTCCTGAGTGGGGCTGCGGGTCTTCGCCCAAACAAAAGTCTATCAATTCCACAGTTTGAGGGGCGTCCGGGACTCGGTCGTCACCCATGGTCCACAGAGTGAGGATGCTTGGGAACCCCCTGGAGGGTCAACTGTCACAATCCCATCGCACAAACTAGGGCAAGTACAGGGCGTGGGGACTAGCAATCCACATCTACCCTGGAAATTGCCAAAGCAGATAGATGCAGGTTAGGAAAAGGCACTCATGGCTCTTGACTAGAGTGGCAGGTGGTGCTACAGAGCCCACGGCTAAGATGCCCCAGGACCTCAGTCTCAACCATGTACCTTCTGTCCACCCCACCCCAGAACACCCCTTTTGCTGGCTACAGGTGTCTCTGGGAGCTTAACTAAAAAGGACAAGCAGGTCAAATCGAAAATTAGACTAGTGGCCTCAAGAGACCCTCTTACTGGCTTGGGGAAGCAGCCACCAGCTGGGAATGCCAGCACAAAAACCATGATGAGCCAGATACATTCACACCAGAGACCAGGAGAGTGGAGCGGATTTGTGGGAGAAGACAGCACCCTGGTGAGACAGGTCACAGCCTACCTGCCTGCCTGCCTTGTACCCACCAGCCCAGGTTTCTGGGCTTGGGCCTGCCCCCAGCATGAGTCTGGGTTCTTGGGAAGCTGGCATCTTGGTTCAAGTGGGAGCAGAAACTCAGCCCCAACTTCGTGGAAGGAGAATACTTCGGCCCTTACTGCCCAACCCCCTGGGCAGGCCCCAGTTTGGCCAGGACTACACACCCACATGAGCACTGTGGGTGGTGCTTATCAAATGCAGGCTAGTCAAATGCACAGCACACATCTCCATCTTCTGCATATGGACTGTGACATGCCTGTCACTCACAGTGACCCTGTCTCCCCAGAAATGCTAGCTTGTTTTGACCTAATGGATGCTGTGAAACTTGTTTAGCCTGTTTCCTTGTTGATGCCTGCTTTCAGAGGTGCAGGGTTGGGTACACAGTCTGGGCTGATGTTCAGGTGCAGTGGGTAAGTCTGTATACCACTTTGAGTCCTTGCTGCCCTGCTTCCAATCTAGCTCCCTGCCAACACATACAAGAAGAGACAGGAAGATGGCTCAAATGCTTGGCCACTCCATGTGGGAAACCTGGATTGAATTTCTGGCTCTTAGCTTCAACCTGGTCTAGCCCTACCAGTGTCAGGTATGTAGAGAATGAACCTGGCAATGGAAAGTCTCTCTCCTTCCCTCTCCGTTGCTCTGCCTTTCAAATAAATCATTAGAACAAGTCCTGAAAGAAAGAGGACATAGGCCAACGCATAGCGTGTTGTTTCCGTTGCTCATCACACTCCCCCGGCTGCATCACCTCTTATTTTCTCTCTGCCTGGCTCTTTTTACACACTCATGGCTATCTTAAAGAAAGTGTGTGTTTGGAAGCTGTACTAAGACACCTGAGCCACCAAGATGGTTAATAAACACACATGCACACACTCTCAACACATATCAGACACAACTGCTGCATGCACACAGATGGTTAGAAAAGCTGTTCTCAACCACTGCTTAGCTAACCTCATGCCCAGCGGGTGAGCAGGGCACCTGCTGCATCGCTGACTCACAGCCAATGAAACTGAAGCCGGAGTTCGGCCTAAGGCTCCATAGCTGCTGAGACAGGCCCTGCTCTGCCCTACTCTGTTTTCCAAGAGCACCAGCCTCCCTCTACCACTAAGCTTGGTTCTGAGGTTGGAGTGCAGGGGAGGGTCTAGACCTCAACCAAAGCTCTAGGCTGTGGGTGACTGGTCTGACCTGGCCTGGCCTGGCATATGGGACTTCAACCAGCAGATGCTATAGAATCGTAGGGAAAAAAAAAAAAAAAGAATCATAAAGGGACAGCTCCCAGCAGCAGCAGAGGGCTTGGGCTGAATGAGAGCCCTCCCTACCATTTCTAGCTGAATGAACCTATGAGGTGCCTCAGCCCCTGGGGACCACCCCTCCAAGAAGAACCGGGAGATAACCGTGGTAATTCTTGTCCAGCATCACTGCTAGACACTAACAGGTAACCCCCCAGCAGTCTCAAACCAAGGCCAAGAGGCAACCACCTTTGTCATTCAGAAAAAAACAGCTCGAGAGAGAAACAAGTTAGGACTAGCATACGGGCAGGTCTTCACACACAGTCATCAAATCTTCATAAAATGCCTTTCTGGATTTTCACCCTCCCTGTCCCAACTCTACCTTGCTTGCTTTCAGGCAAATAAGAACCTGAACATTTTAGCCCCCCTGGGAAAAGTCCCCAACCAGCCTCAGGGCTCTTGTGTCCTTCATGATAACCCAGCCTCCCCAAAAGATCACTTTCCTAAACAGCTGGGTCAGGTATGTGTCCAATCTTCTGTTTGAAGCTCTGATCCAAAGGACTTGATCCATTGATCCTGCCTTCCAACCTCCTCCTATATCTGTCTCCAACTGTTTCCATTCTACCTTCACATATCTTAGGAGCCACCTGTCCACCCCATCTCCTTCCCTCCCACCCCCAGAGCCCAAGTTGAGAACTTACGAAGTCCACACGCTAAGTCTGAAGGTCAAGACCTGCTCGTCTAACCAGGTACCCGTTGTCAGAGCTCAGAACTCTCTAGGTAACAGGCCTACAAAAGCCCTGCCAGTCCCCTGGGCCTCGCCCCTCAGGCCTGACTGCTGCAAAAGGACGGTGGGGAATGGGAAGATGTCTCTGTTCAGGAGACCAGGTGGGGGTGAGGAGAAGTACTTGGTGTACAGGTGCCCCACAGGGCAGCCCCAGCTCCAGCGACCGCCTCCTTCCCAGTCGCCAGCTCCTGTCTATCTCTTGCCTGTTAAGCTCAGCTCTCTTGGCATCCAGCTGGCTCCCTCCCAGCCATGAGTTCTTGTCATCCATTCCCACAATCTCCACACATTGTATCTGAGTGTGTGCCAGCCTCTTTTCCCTGTGGGCGTCAGAGCCTTTTTCCAGGATGACATCAATTCACTATCTCATCAGTGAACCCACTGGATGGGAAAAGTTCATGCACTAATAATAGGTGTGGGGGCAGGGCCAGTCGGCAAGGGTGTCCCACATTATGTCACAGGACAAGGAGTTCCCACATGTCTCTCTTTGCACACAAGCATTTCAAAAGCAACTATGTATTTATGGGCATACAGGGAGGCACATACTGTGGACTATGCTTAGACAACAAAGGCGCACTGGATTTGCCTTCTCAGAAGAAGCCCCGTGTCCCTTGCCAGGTTCGGTGGGAAGCTGCTACAACTTCCCAGAGCACAAGAAAGCGGAGCTAGGGGATCTGAGAAGCTTTACAAAGCCTTGAGGGCATGGGATAGGGAGAGGACAGCAGGCATTGGAAGGCAATGGGTGTTAGGGGCTGGTCACCATCAGATACATGCTGCAAAATGGCATTTCCACCAGTGACAGACCACCCACAGTTTGGGGACCACACTCTCTGGCTTAGGTATACGGCAGGTGACAGGCTGGGCTTAAGTATCCTCCAGGATGTTCACCCAACGACACGAGGGATGCATTGCTCGAAAGGCAGCCCGTTCTGTTATTAAACAACATATGGCTGTGCTTGGTGAGACACGAGGCATGTGTGGCCTGGCTGTGGCATAATTCTGTAAACCAACTCAACTCCACCTGTCTTCGTGCCTTCCCCCTCGCTCTGGGACTTCACAGCACTGGTTCCAGGGTTTTCACACAGGGTTCCATTGTGCCTGGAATGTGAGTGCTGAGTGGGTAGGTTCTGTGTGCTTCCTGTTCACAATTGGGTCTCACTGGTCAAATGCTGAATGATATAAAACTGCCAATAGCACTGATGAGGCTCTGGGAGTAGGGGTGCTTCCTGTCATCCTTCAGTTCAAGTGCATTAGCAAGTTAGGGACCAGTCTTTAGCAGTGATTCATGTGCACCTGGGAGACATCTAGGTTTCTGGAGCTTGGTGAGAGGTAGTCACATTTACCTCACAGGCCGTATACTATCACAGCACACAACTTCCTCATGGGGTTGCCAAATTTTGGAAATACTCATATAGAAGGCTTGAGATCTGAGGCTCAGGGCTTATTCTGTGTTTATTGGAAAATCAAGTATAACTGGACCTTTTCCTATAATCCAGCAGCCCAGCCCATAGATGCCTATGGTGTACTCATTAGACAGCTTAACAGAGCTCATCTGTTGGGCCAGTCACCCCACACATGGCACAGGTGGTTGTACCCCATTTTTTTTTTAAGATTTATTTTTATTTTTACTGGAAAGTCAGATATACAGAGAGAAGGAGAGACAGAGAGGAAGATCTTCCGTCCGATGATTCACTCCCCAAATGGCCGCAATGGCCAGAGTTGAGCCAATCTGAAGCCAGGAGTTAGGAGACTCTTCTGGGTCTCCCACACAGCTGCAGGGTGCCAAGGCTTTGGGCCATCCTCAACTGCTTTCCCAGGCCACAAGCAGGGAGCTAGATGAGAAGTGGGGCTGCTGGGATTAGAACAGGTGCCCATATAGGATCCCAGCATGTGCAAGGTGAGGCCTTTAACTACTGGGCTACCATGCTAAGCCCATTGCATCCCCTTCTTACAAAGAAGAAAGTGGGGCTGAGATAGTGGTGCAGCAAACAATCCTCCATCTGCAGCGCCAGCATCCCATATGGGTACTGGTTTGCCTTGGCTGCTCCACTTCTAACCCAGCTCCCTATTTATGAATTGGGAAAGCAATGGAGAATGGCCCAGAGTTCTTGGGCCTTGCATAAACAAGGGAAACCCAGACGAAACTCCTGGCTCCTGGCTTTGGTAGTAAGTGGAGAGCTGGGATCTCAACTCAGGTCCAGGGCACCACACTTCTCCCACCCACAGATCAACTGTCACAGGCATTCACAATTTTGTTATGAAACAGAGGTACTGCCCAGAGTGATGTCTGCTTGGTTCTGTCCGAGGTGGCACCCCAAGTTTGTCAAAAGAAGGGGAAAAGAGAGGCAACAGATGAGCCAGATGTAGAGACAAGATGAACCTGCTTGGCAGTCTGACCAAGGGCTAGACAGACTGGGACCAGTCGTCCTGTGAACCAAACACCTCCTCCTTCAAGGAGGCCCAGTGCTGTGGGGACGGTGCTCCACCACGGCAGCCCAGTGGTCACTTAGGGAACACTGGCAGCACATGTGTAAGCAGGTCCTCTCCTCCCTGAAGGGAGAAGGGGTGAGGCCACTTCTCCTGGCCAGCAGGGTAGTTCCACCAGGCACCTGGCTGAGGACAGTCTTACCCAGGAAGGGCCTAGGGTGGATACAGCCTTGGTTTCCTGGAAGTAGGATGGTACCTGGTAGGCACAAGTGGGCCAGGAATGGGGCAGCAGAGCCCAAGTCTAATGAATGCATCTGGAATTTTCCTGCTTTAATCTCTCTGCCCCACCCCTGGTGTTTAACAACTGCAAACAAACAAGCAAGCTAGCATCCTTTCTAAGGGCTAGGCCCATCCCACGCCCTTTGCTTTCAGCTTCCTGGAGGAATCCTCCCATGCAGAGGCCGTCGGTTTCCCAGCCCCTCTCCCTCTTCTGGTTTCCAGACTTAGCAAGCTTTGGGTTCTTCGTCTCACATGAAAAAAAAACAAAAACAAAACAAAAACACCAAGATTCCTGGCCGGGTCTGGGAATTTGGGCTGGGATGGTGCTGGAGGGGTGATTGTCCGGGGGCCTGCGGGGCTAGATATGTCACTCCTAGGACAGCACCACTGCCTTAACTGGAACAGGAGCAGGGTGAGAGAACTGGTGAGGGCAGCCCCACATCCTGCCCACAAGGAGGAGGTGGAGGCCGCAGCTCACAGAAGACCACAGAGAAAGAGGCTGAGCACCCGATGGTGGGGCCAGCTGAGGCTCAGGCAGGCAGCTGAGAGGATGGAGCTGCGGGAGGCAGGGCGGTCCAGACAAAGGGACCACCAGGGAGCAACTGCTGCCGCGGGGGAAGGGAAAGGCGTACTGGGAAGCTCAGGCCAGGTGGGCTGGGTCTCTGTCCTAGGAAGCCCAAAAGTCCCATTTCCTATCCCTGGGACCTGAGCCTTATCTCCTTATCGACTGAGCCCCGCCCACCTGGGGCCATTTCTGCAAGCCCTGACAAGAGGTGTGTTTCCTGTCAGCTGACCACAGTCCTCCCTCTTACTCTCTCTCCAGCCTTCCAGCAATCAAGTGACTCCATCCACCGTGTTTAAACGCCTAAAACAAGTGGATGAGGGGAAGGGAAAGGATTGAGGACTTGCCTCCGGAGCCGACAATGTAAACTACTGGGCCCAATAAACTTCCCAAAAGGATTCCCAAGGCCTACCAGGAGGACAGGCCTAAAGGGCAGCTAAGAGGGCAGGGAGGATCCCTGCCCTAAATCGGAGCCTCCCCCTGTCGCCGGAAGCTAGGATCCCCTAGTGGCGGATTCAGCCCCAGCGGCACAGACCCCATCCAAAGCTGCCCCAATCAGGCCACGCACCTCGCCCTCCGTCCCCCAGGGGCCCAGCCGAGGTCGTCCCCGTAACCCGGCAGGCAGGGTCCACTGAGATTCTGAGGGTGAGGAAGGGGGTGTTCATGGAAGGAAATCAAACCCAGGCCAGGCGGGCAGAGAACAGCCTGGCAGAAGGAAGGGGAAGAAGGCCAGTGCCCAAGTGAGGCCAGGCCTGCAGGAGCATGCGCAGTAGGCGCACAGGGCACGCCTGGAGACCCGGCCTCCCTCCTGCCCACTTGTTCGTGGCCGTTCCCGACTCTCCTTGTCATCTGCTCGTCCCAGGTCCCTCCAAGCCCCACTCCATCCCAGGTCCACCGCACTCACCTCCAAAGGGGGCCCCAAAAGGGATGAGTTGGCCCCGAGGTTCCACCTCTGAGCACTTCCTGCTGTACTCTCTGTCTGCCCCGAAAATGTGGCGGCTGGAGCTTCCTACTTCCGCTCGCCCCAACCACGGTGACACACACCCCTTCTGCTACCCGCTGCCGCCTCCCCAGTACCTCACACTTCCTGCCCACAAGACGAGGGCCACTGCGCCTGGGTCCCTGCCGGCCCCCCACCCCCCACCCCCCGAGCTGGAGCCTCAACCCTGTGAGTGCAGCCCAGAGAAAACGTGCCCTTCAGCAAAGGGGCCAGCCAGTGGGACGGAAGGGGGAAGGTGGCAGCGTGGAGTGTGAGCAGGACCCTGAAGCCTACTCCCTGTCTGCTGTGGGCCACCTGTGGGAGACAGCATGCCCCCAGGGCATCTCATCAGCCTTCTGGTCCACCCCATGAAACCTGGACACAGACCCAGGGCTGACGACAGGCTCAGAGAGGCCAAGCCACTTGCCTCTGGGTAGCCCAGCAGCGAGATCCCAGAGCCAGGGTGAGAACACAGAGGCTCTGGTTCCAAGCATGGGTCGTGGTATACAGGAGGACCTTGCCCAGACTGTTCTCACTGCTGGCTTCTTCCCCTACACCACCTACTTCTACAGTCTGAACTACCAGCCACTTGGTTGAGACCCAGGAGGACCACAACCCCAAAGGTGTCCTCCTCCTCCACCTGCATGCCTATGACAGTCATGCCTTCACAGCACCTCAGCCCAGCCAGTTATGCTCCTTCTGCAGCCCAAAGAGGAGTCGGGGAGCCCCGCACCCCTTTTCTAGCCACACTCTGGGCACCCAGCTTTCTGCACTTTTTAGGGCTCCAGGACTGGCATGGCTGCCTTCTCTGTTTAGCATTAACTACCTGACTGTCACTTGCCCTCTTGCAGGTGTGATCCTGGCCTGGGCTGCAGGGAGACATGGAGGTGGGTCCCAGCAGGGGTCAAAGGCCAGAAGCCACATGTGGACAAGGCTAACTCCAGACTCACACCCGGATGCCACTGGTAGAGCCACAGTTTGGAAGGGAAGAGACTAAGACACACAAAAGTTATCACTTTGCATTCTAATCTATCAGATGGGGCAGGTGGGTTTGTTTTGAGGCAGGCATTTGTCTAAGTCCCTCAAACTCAGGGTGGCCCCTTCTCTTCTGGAAGCTGAGTCCACTTCCGACTCCACCCCCATGGGCATTCACAATTCTTCCCAGCTGAGTAAGCTAGAAACTGGAAGTCACTGAACCCTATATGACAACCCTGCCCTGGTCTCTTGGGAGTCTCAGGAGTGTGGCCACAGCTAGCCCAGGACAGGCTCCTCTCCACGTGGGGCCTGGGCCAGAAGCTGCTGATCTGTCTCAAAACACGGGACCCTTGCTCTCAGGATGCCTCCCACCTGTAGACTCAGAGAAGGAAGAAGTATGCTCATTCACCAGCCTCGGGGTAGCATCAATTCACTGGTGATGAAAACTGGGGTTTGGGCAGTGATGACAAGTGAGAGAGCAGAAGTGGCAAGGCCTCTGCCAGGGCGGGGCACATTGACAGCACAGATCCAAGACAGGCCTCCACACATTCAGGGAACAGAAATCAGCACGATGGGGTGCCCAGTCCAGGGAGGGTGTGGAGGAAGGGAAGGAGGGACAGAGCCAGCTTCCACGGGTGCACAGTGTGAGCTTTAAGTGGGGAAGAGCAGGTCAAGGAGCTTTGACATACTGACACTGAAGATCACTTGTCTATAGTATTGAGAACAATCAGCAGAAGCAAGCTAAGAGGAAGGAGACTGGCGTAGTACTGCTTGCAACACCAGCATTGGTTCAAGTCTAGCTGCTTCCTACCGATTCAGCTCCCTGCTAATGCACCCGGGAAGGCAGTCAAAGATGGCCCAAGTCCTTGGGCTTCTGCCACCCACAAAAGAGACCCAGGTGGAGCTCCTAGCTCCTGGCTCCTGGCTCCTGGCTTTGGCCTGGCTCAACTTTTGCCACTGCAGCCAATTAGGGAGTGAACCAGTGAGTGGCTGGATCTCTCTCTCTCTCTCTGTCTCTTTCTCTCTCCTTCTTTCTAACTCTGCCTTTTAATACACTTAAAAGGGGGTAGGGTGGATCCTGGTTAGAAGAACAGGCTGGCTGCCAAGAAAGACCTCTGCTGAAAGAAGAAAGAAGTGAGGAGATGAGGCTGACGGGGAGAGAAGAGCTTTAAATACCAGCCTTGAGTTATCAGTGTGAGACTCAAGCAGGCAACTGAAGAACAGGTTGTGGACTATATGTGCATAGTGACCAACAGAGGTAGGGGTCAGCACTGGCCACGGTGGGCAGCCGCGGAGCATGGGAGAGAAAAGTCTGCCAAAAGGTTTAAGGTAAGAGATGTCAGGGTAGTTTGTGGTCAGTGAGGACAAGAGAGGAGGATGTGGTAGATTTGGCGGAACATTTTCAGAAAGTTGCGAAAGATAAGACAAAAACGGGGCTGACCCCTGATCGTGGTGACACGGAGGTCCCAGACAAATGGGGGCCTGATGGAGGCAGAAGCCAGGTGACCATGAATAATGACACTCCTCCCTGCCTCCAGCAGCTGGGATGGTGCTGGGCAGGTGAGGCACCAGGGGTCCTCCCCTTCCCCTCGGTCTGCAATGTCATTGTAGCCAGACAATGTTCACAGTCAAGGATGGGTCTCTGCGTTTCAGGGCTAACCAGGTCACAGAGCTCCTGAGGGCTGCAGGACCACTGGATAAATGAATCCAGAGTGGAGGCTGCTCATTCACTCTTGGGCACAGTATGCGTGTGCATTGAGGTGCACTGGGTAAGGCTAGGGGTGTGCTTCCTGCTTAACCCCCGCCCCCCACCAAGATTACAGAAGAATCCAGAGTCCTGAGTGGCCAGCTCCACCCCCTCTCCCATCACTTCTATTGTCCAACATGGCAATAAAGCAAAGCTTGGTGTGGAAGACAGCTTGATACAGGAAAGGAAGACAGACACCCCGAGCCTCTCCGCTGGCCAGCAACGAGTTTGGATCTGCTGTGTGTTCTCCTGCACTCCAGGGGGCTCCCTCCCCCAGGCTCAGAGGACGCCCAGCCTCCTCCCGTGACTTAAGGAAGGTGGCACCAGGCAGGCCCTCCTGGTTTCCTCAGGGTAAGCTGCTTCCTGTTTGCCCCAGAGGAAGCTGCTCATTGCAGGTGGCTCAGTGTACTTTCACACATCGAGCACAGGTGGAGGTCAGGACTACAGTGAGCTGTGAACTTCTCAGACTTCTTTATACACGTGATCCCCAGTCCTAGAGGTCTGGGGTGCAGGTGGAGTGGGGTTATCCCCTTGAGTCTTAGAGAGGCATGGAGAAGGCTCTTGCAGGCAAAAAGGAGGGGAAGGGAAGACATACCAGCAACTTCCAACCCAAGTGTGCACCCCTGGGCTGCCCCCCTGCCTCCTGGAGACAGACAGGTGGTGATTCCACAGGCCCCAAGGCTGCTTCTACCTGTTCGTTTGATGCCCAGTTCTGTGGTAGGTGCAGGAATCTGTGACCAGCCCAAATGGACCATCTATGTGCATGGTCAGATGTCCAGGAATGGGGCACCAAGGTCCCAGTACACTCTTATGCACCCCAGCATGAAAGTTCACCCCAGGGGCCAGTGCGATAGCTCAACTGGCTAATCCTCTGACTGCATGCACCAGGATTCCATATGGGCGCCAGTTCCTATCCCAGCTGCTCCACATCCCACCAAGCTCCCTGCTTGTGGCCCAGGAAAGCTGTCAAGGATGACTCCAAAGCTTTGGCACCCTGCACCTGTGTGGGAGACCCAGAAGAAGCTCCTGGCTTTAGGTTGGCTCAACTCTGGTTGTTGTGACCACTTGGGAAGTGAACCACTGGATGGAAGATCTTTCTGTCTCTCCTTCTTTCTGTAAATCTGCCTTTCCAATAAAAAGTAAGTCAATCTTAAGAAAAAGAAAATTCATCCAGACTTGACCAGGGTTGCCCACTTTGACCCTCTTAGAATACTGAGTTTTCTAAGCGAACACCTGCCTTGCAGCCATACGTCCTGGATCCACCCCCTTCTCCGGCGAGCAGTGAATGGACTCCTGGTCATGCACCCTCGGTCCGCTGTTCCCCTTGTCAGCAGAAGGCACCCGCCACACATTTGCTGCATCACACATGCACACCACTTATCATGAAGGCATAAACGGTCACCACCTCCACACCACAACAGCATCTAGATAAACAGCAAGGCAGGCATGCGGCCTATGGTGACCACAGGCAGCCTGCAGCTACCACTGAAGATTCATGAAGGGGAAGAATGCTCAGAGCACATTGTTAAATGAGGAAATTTTACATTTCATTAAAAAAAAAAAAAAGCTTGTGTTTTAGGAACCCAGCATTGTGGCACAGTGGGTTAAGCCAAGGCCTGTGATGCCAGCATCCCATACGGGCACTGGTTTGCATCCCACTATTCTGCTTTTGATCCAGCTTTCTAAGGCACCTGGCAATAGCAGCAGCGATGGCCCAAGGGCTTGGGCACCCTACCTCCGTATGGGAAACTCAGTTGGAAGTCTGGGCCCCTGGCTTTGGCTGGGTCCTGACCTGCCATCACACCCATTTGGGAGTGAAAAAGTGGATGGACGATCTCTCTCTAATTCCACCTTTTAAGAAAAAATAACTTTGGGTGGGTCGGAGCTATGGCTCAACTGGTCAATCCTCCACCTGCAAACACCTACATCCCATATAGGTGCTGGTTCTTGTCCCAGCTGCTCCACTTCTGATTCAGCTCCCTGCTTACAGCCCTGGAAAGCAGTGAAAGATGGCCCAAGGCCTTGAGTTCCTGCACTCATGTGGGAGGCCTGCAAAAAGTTCCTGGCTCCTGACTTCGGGCAGTGAACCAGCAGATGGCAGATCTCTCTCTCTGTCTCTTCTTCTCTTTATAAACTTGCCTTTCCAATAAAAATAAATAGATTTTTTTTAAAGATTTATTTTTATTATTTTTTCATTGGAAAGGCGGATATACAGAGAGGAGAGACAGAGAGGAAGATCTTCCGTCCGATGGTTCACTCCCCAAGTGAGCGCAACGGGCCGATACTATGCCGATCTGAAGC